GGTGGGGGGAAGAGTAAAATATTGGATGAATGCCAGTTCTTAAATAGGATGAATAAGTAATGAGCTTCCCCATTTGGGGTCATGACATAAATGGAAAAAGGATTTTGGTTTCTTGAGGGACAAAACTGATTAGCAGTCCATGCAAGTTAGGCAGTATGTAACTGTGCCATATTGAACATGGAGATTCTTGGCAGTAGTGTTTCATCTGCATCTTTTTTCTGCTTTAAGTCTATCCCATGTGTATCTCTTGAATTCCAGTGTATTTTCTGTTTGGTATTCTGGAAGCAGGTTCACTTATATTTATCCTTTGCCTTCTTCCCAGCATTGCAAGGAAAAAAGTGATTGGACTAAGCTGGGAGCTTTGTATGTGAATGCGAGAATTGGATGTGAACATTTTGATGATCTTCAGAAATTGTCTTTATGTATTGCTGAAATACTAGCCAGAGATTGTAAGGCAGACAGACCAGGAGTTCCTTTTTGTGATTTTGCTGATGCAGGTAAAATTAAGATGCAAAAAATGCTTTTTGTTCATCCCTATTCTTTGTAGAGTTTTTAAAAGAGGTAAAAAACCAAATTCATATACTGTTTTCTGAATATTGGTTAATTTTATATGTTACAATATTCAGAATTTCTTGAGGTGCAAATACAATCAGCTAAAATGCTCAATAGAAGCCATTTTCTAGTAGAAGTAAAATCTACAGTGCTTCCACTTAAAGTCAGAGAAAGTTCTGAAAGAAGAACATTTGAGCTTTGTGAAATCAAGAAGAGAAACCAAAATTGGTGGTCTTTTAATAAGAATGTCCTATTCGCAGGACAAAGGCAAACATATTTAAATATTGTCATGTGAGTTGTCACAGTCTTAACAGCATAAATAAACTTTAGAGCTGTAAATACAGCTATATGTATTTGTATATTTCAAAACACATGGAGCAGGGTTACATCATATATATCACTTGTACTTTTTTTGGTAATTTACATTTTCAGAACTATTTTATTCTCTAAAGAACCAAGAATTTCTGCAAGGGCTGGGTCCACAAAACACCTAATTTCTTAATAGCTCTGGCAGGTTTTCTTACCCCTTTCCTCCCTATGCCCCTTCATTTACATATCTGTAGCATTCTTCCTAATAAGTTTGCAGAAAACTGAGCCTCAGTGAAGTGTCAGCAGGTTATTAAAGTGTTTTGTGATGGATGACTCAGATCTTTTTCAACCTGTATTAACTACTAAAACATGATGAATTTTTATTCCAGATATGTGACATCACCTTTCTGACCACAGACTTTCATATTATAAAACAGCTATCACAGCTTCCAGTTGTGACAGACAGAAGATTTTGGTGGGGCTTGGAGCATTGTCTTCCCTAGAGCAGTGGTCTCCGAACTGATAGGCACCTCTACCAGCAAAAAATTTTTAAACACTCACCCCCAATTTACTTATTTCTCTATAAATTACATACATGTACTACTGCACTAATATATTAAGTACATTGTAAAATGTACAGAAAAATAGAAATTAAAAAGATGAGATAAAGAAGAAATAAACACTACTTTTTAAAATATTTTATTTATTATTTTTAATGGTACAAAAAAATATTTTCTTCCCACACCTGAATGGATTGTTGTGCTCACACCCCACTTTGGAGACCACTGCTCTAGAAGACCAGCAGTGCTTCCAAAGCAGTTGTATAATATGGTTAGAAAAACTTGTAATTGCTCAGTTCTGTAATTGCCAACATTTCTTCATGGTGCCAGAAAATGCAAAGCTTACTTTACAAATAATGATGTTACTGATTTATGCCATTAGGTGTCTAAGCATTTTATGGATAAACTAGACTACTATGAAGTAGTGCCTGAATAAACTTTAATGGCAAATATTTCAGAAAGTATATTTTATATTTTCACAATGACCGTGTTTTTTCAAGTGTGTAATTTCTTTAAAACTGCATTTACATGTAAAATTAAAATTATTTTTTTTCTTTCCAGTAATAAAAAAATCACAACATAATGAAGCAGACAGAATTTTCATTGGAAGGATTGGGATAAGTGTAATGTATTCTTATCACAAACTATTGCAGTGGATAAAGGTATACTGGACTATAGGAACCTGGTGGGAAGAAAGAGAATGAGTCATTTCTTTTCTAGATGTTAAACTGTGTTTCTCTAGTTGAATGGTTAGGTGTGCCACCTGCCTCCCCACCATCTTAGTACTTCTTAATTGTCCAGCTGGATCAAAGCATTTTATTGTGCCTTTCTGAGCAGTAGTCTTCTATAGAGCCCATCATAACTTTGTCTTGCAACCTAGAAACTTGATTATTCAGGTTCAGCTTTTGACTTTTCTGAGCTAAGGATGAATCTGGATTAGGAGACAGGTCTTCCTGAGATTCTGGGGTGAGGTCTGATGGGATTGTTTCCCAGAAGTGCCACTTTCTTCTGTCTGGCAATACTGCTGTATTCTAAGAACTCCCAACTCGTGCAATATTTACAGAAGTTTCAGTGGGCCCTTTCCTGCACTGACACTTCTGAACCTGACCTCAAATGGAATGGATAAGGCCAGGAAGATAGAAGAGAAGCATAGCAAGGCTGCTGCTGCACTTGGTGAACTGCTCATTCCCCAGGATGTCACTAGAAGTGCTTTCCTTCCATTGAACCTAGGGTTCTGAGTTCTGTGAATCTTGCAAAGACTCGGACCCCACAAAGAAATACCCTTTACAATACTTTCTTTGCTGTCAAACATTACAAAGGGCCAGGGTTAAGAGACTAGACCTCTCACTGGATGTTTTACACTCTTTAGGGCTCATGCAGTATTGATCATAAGTTCACTGCAGCAAGCGTCAATGTTAAATTAATCTTTTTCTTCCTGGAAGGAAGCAGTGTACACCAAGTACACCAATATATACAGTGCAACATGGCCAGTGACAACATAAGAAATTATATAAAGAACTGATGATTTTGGAGAGTATTTTGGTCAGTGATCACATTCTGAACTTACCTTGGTGTCAATGGGCCAGATCCTTACAACTAATAATTAGCTGTACTGGGATGTTCCTCATCCCATACAAGATGATTTCCAGCATGTATTGTTATGAACAAAAGCAAACACTCCCCTTGTCCCCTTTTGTCTCTTGGGGTTTTTTGTGAACTATCGTCAAGGAACCCCTTCTAGTTTGCATCAAAGGATTAAAATGTCTTTTGTATTATTGTCTCTAGGGGATAACCTTCAGGAATTCTGGTATGTAAAACCTATGCACTGCTCAGTCTGTTTCCAGGGTCAACCTAGACTAGAACTTTTTGAAGCATTTTTGTTCCACAAAACTCAGCAGTTAGAACAGTTAAAATATTCCTGGACATAGAAGAGGTAGTCTAAATTTTTGGCATTGAGGAGTGGTGAGTGCTCACATGCCCATTGAAGAGCTTAGTTTGGCTTGGGGTTTGGCTGTCATCTTCAGCAGAGACAGCATATACT